CAAAAACGTCGACATAACAGGGTTGGCGAGTTAACCGAAGTCGAGATAAGCGGGTTCAACTGTATATTTATAATATGGCCATTGAATACATTTTATATGCATTTCCAAAAATAGACTTCTGAACTCTATTTTAGAGCATGATGACATCATACAATTATCATCCACCATACTTTAAAAGTGGGTGTCATTTTGTGAAGAACTGGAAATTGAACACATCCTTCTAATCTGAACACATCCTTCCAACCTGAACACCATCAAACACATCGAGTCTGGTCAGTGGCGTAGCAATGGTGGGGCGCTCCGCCCATTTCTCGGACTGTGTGTGCTCTAAGGTTACATACTGTGTGTGCAGTTACTTGAGTTACTGAGTCAGTTGGCGTATGACCGTTATCACTCTAGTTATCATTCATTCAATTTTTATCATCATCATTGCCAATTTTTCAGGCATCATTTATGATCATTATCATTCATTATGTAAGAGATTATTAATAATTTACCGAATAAGTTTAACTTTTAAGTAAGTTTTAAAAAATATAAAGATTAGTTGCGTTACAAGTTACATTCAATTATTTTTCATTTGATACCAAATTTGGTAAAAGTGCAGTTCAGGTGCGAATGTTATTTCTGTTTGAATCTCTTATTTTCCCGTGTAAACTTATGTTAATTCTTTATAAAAAGTATTTTAAAAGTTATATAACCATCTTTTTATTGGAATACAACAACAATTTAACAAATTTTACGAGATAAATAAAAGTACATTTTTAGGAATCTTTCGTGTTTTACGGAGCCATTGTGGTAAATCAAGGATAACTCTTCTGTCTTTAAAGATACTTTATAAAAGTTTCCCAATTGGATGAATCTTGTTAAAACAAATGATGTATTTATTTTATAACTTTACTATCAACTATAACCGGAGTTGCCCGGGGCTGCATTCAGACAAAAACATCTGCTACGTCCTTTTAGTTCACATTGTTATTAAAGGAAATGGCAACAACAAAACAACAACACTATAGTAAAAATAATAATAATTAATTTGTCTCCTATTAAAAACAATTAAAATAACTCATGTAAACCTTTCGTTTTTCCAGTTTTCCGATGACACCCAGAAGGATCATGATGGGATCCCGAACCCGATGTGATTCCGATAGAATCCTGGTCATGGGGGGATCCCAATCCCGATAAGATACCGATCCCGGTGAGATCCATTTCCGGTGGTATCCCAAACTAAATGAGATCCCTATCAGGCGGGATCCCGTTTCGGTGAGATTCCGATCCCGATAATTATGGGGAGCTCACATACTTGACATACGAACCCAGCTTACAAGCCACATTGCATTTGTTACGAGCCCCTTAGGAGAAATTCCAGTTGTATTAACGTTATTTGTTGCCCCACAAGGTGCGCGTATAAACCAAATGCTGCACCATTAAAAATGCCTGTTGCATCAACAATTTTAGCTATTGTTTCTTGGTCATCCTGCAATTTTAAACAAAATGATCCTACAACCAGCAATACCGCAAAGCCAAAACGAGTCCATCTTATAATATAAAAAAAATAATCACTAGCCCTCACTTTACTCAGCGCAAATCAGTCACCAGTAATAAGCGCATTTGCATACGAAAAAAGAGGAGGGGGTGCTCAAATTAGAGCTGACCAATCANTTTCTCTTTTTATTTATTATTTTTAATTAAAAATACATGTAAATTTTAAATCTTAATAAAAACTTAATTTATTAAATTATTAAAATCCACTTCTAATCTCTCCCTCCCCCCCCTTCCCCGACTCGACTTCAAAGGACAACCCCTATATTCCGAGCTCTCTGAGAGGGGAAAAAAAGAAAGTTGGGGTGGGGGGCGCTTGTGCGTAATGAAGAATCTAGTATTTCATTCTTTTTTGTGAACATGCTTAGTTTGAAAATTTCGTTTAGCATACTAACTTATAGGTGGCTAAAAATCTGGCATAGCGTAAAAAGAAAAATACAAACAAATGGGGGCTGTGTCACTTTGGTTGGGGGATGTTTAAAGACTCTTTAGAAGCAAAATAAAAAGAAAAGATGCGATTTATAATCCAGAATAACTATAACTGCCTGTATTAAATTATTAAAGAGTACACGTAAGTTTACATGATAAAAAATGTTAAAATACGAAATGCGCTAAGAAATAATTTACGCACCTGAACTGCACTTTTACCAACCAGTTCTACTACCGCTTTAACGGTTAACCACCGGCACAGTGATTCATTAATTAAAATTACATCAAAAGTTTCAAATAAATAAATGATTTTAAAAAATCAGATTCAGTTGTATTTGTCCATCAGAATATAATAGACTAGAACAACGCGTTTTTGGTACGATTATACGTTCATTACAATCTAACAACATTCTCACCAAATATGAAATGGGTAATGTAAACTTTGTAAATTTGACCAGAGTAGTCTCCCTTACTTACGGTGTAATAAGAAATATGTTGCGGTCTGATGCATTTTAGGCCTACTCTTTTTTTTGTCACGGAAAAACTATGCATTTTATACATATTTATTTTAAACAATATTTGATCTTCTTGGGTTTAATCAAAATATTAAAATCTCATTTATTATTAATTTATTATAAATTAATGTTTTAAATTAAAGGTATCAGTATTTTCATTCCAGTTTAGAAATCTGAATTTTATTTTATACTAGGACGGTTAATACAATTAAAATGTGCCATTATTATTAATTGACTTCAGCACCCTTTACATGATAAAAAATAAAAACATTACTTTTTTTCAATAAAGCAAGAGTTTTTATTATTAGCATGTTTAGTTTGAACGAAATCTCAGGAGGTGTTTACTTAAAAAGTAGGGCCTACAAATGAAATCAATAGTATCTCTTTGTAGCTTGATTTCGAATTCCTGTTCAAAATATTATAAAAATTAGTTTCTCAAGCCTGTTAGAGACTCAGTTTTAGTATTTGCCGTGGGTGCCATGTGACCTCTGTTTAGCGGTCTTGTAAGATTTGATAAAAAGTGTATGATATATTTGGAGTGAGATGGTACTTTTAGTATAACCTATTTTATTTTTAAAAATTACAATTAACTTTTTCTCATTGACACACAAGATATTATTTTAAATTTCTAAATAAGCATCAAGAACTCATTATGGTGTATATATTAAGATTGGAAAACTCTGAACTAAAGGTTTAACCTTTTAAAACAAGGAACATTATTGATCATTCCCGCTTAACTTTCAATTTTAAAATGGCTGCAACTTTGAAACTAGCCAGCAGATCATGTGTGACTGGAGTAGCAATGTTTCCCCTCAACTGTACTCACGCAGACAATGTATGCCCTAAATTCCGTCACTGTCATTTGTTTTCACAGCAACTCTGGTGTACCTTGATATCTCTAATGAATGACCTCCCTTCGTTCTTGAAACCATGTGACAAGATCAAGCCAGCTTGTGGTTTTTAATTGAAAGCTCAACCACAGTGCACTTTAAACAGGATCCAACGACTCATTTTTTTTTCATAAGACAAGATAAGATAAGGTGCTTTTATTGATATAGATTAATGAAATTTAGCTTTGATCATATGACACACATTGATTTCAGTTCTGAATGACTTTGGATGAGTTTTTTTAAGGTTATTAAAAATTGGTTTATTGCAAGGCGCTAGGTGAACCATTGTGGGATAACATCATTAGAGATAGTGATATTATAATTAAATTTAATTTTTAAAAAATTAAGTGTTTTACATTAATGTCTTGTTCACTTTTAATCAATAAATCAAATACATACACGAAATGCATTAGCAATCCTTTAGTAGTGCTTATAGATAAATCAATATCCATCAGAACTTTAAAACATTAAACAGAAACAAGATATGTTTGTTAATACAGGAATTATTTATTATTTTAAGGAGAGCATCAGATCAAGTCTCTGCTGGTACACCTTATTTCCAAGAAAAAATGTTAAATATTTTAGATTCCAGTAAAATTTTATTAACTAAATAACTTCCAATAAATTTGTTTTAATTGTCCACACATAAACATAAAATTTTGATGCTATTAGTTCCCTTTCATTTACTAACAAACTCTCCTTTCATTAACATACTCTTCTTTTACTAACACTAATATACTCTTCTTGTACTAACACACTCTTCTTTTACTAACACTAACAAACTCTTCTTTTACTAACAGTAACATACTCTCCATTGCATTTGGTTCATTGTATTGCCTGAGAAATTCCTCAAACTATAAAAAAAGAAATTTGTTTTGTTTTTCTTCATTTGAATACACAGAATTTAATAAAACAATCTTTCCGGGGGCTGTGTTGGTCTAAGCCAGTCGGTCTTGCTAACTGCTGGCCAGTTGGTCAGTGTTGGGTGTGAGCTGTTGAACAACTTTCAATGCAGTCTCTAGCCTAAGTAGCACATTCTCCTTGCCGATGACAGCCATCATTTCAGCTACTGGGGCACCTTGCTGGTTAATTTGAAAAAATTAATTAAAATTAAAAGTTAGATATGGCTGCAATAATGTAATGTGGGAAGGAGGTATGAGAATGACATTACAATGAGAGTTGAAAGAAAATATTGGGGCGTGGGTTAGGAAAATGTGTACAAGAGTTAAATATAGCTTTAAGCTAAAAACAGTAAAAATGTTGTTTTCCTGAATTATAACATTCCAAGAGCTATGGATTGAAAATATGAGTTATTTATTCACAAAGACTTTTTTAAAATTCTGCCAACTCTTGGTGTCATTATTTATAAGGCAATACATTAATTATCCATTAAAAAAAAAAAAAAATTTAGGGCTGCCACCTCCAACTCCAAGCAGTCACAGGGAAATGTCATTGACAAAACATCTAAATGTAGAAAGAGTTGCTTTTTTTCAAACCCTTTAAATTCGTCATTTTATCTTGACAACTTCAGTTCAGAAAATTAGTCACAAGTCACGAAAATAGCATTTTTTAAAATTTATTGGGGGAAGCGAGGAGCAGGGGACAGAAACCCCCTCATTGATTATTTAAAGGGGAAAAACTCTTATTTAACAAAATACCACTTCAACCTGATTCTCCAGATCTTCAAATGCAATATTAATGACTTAATTATTTAATGACTTAATAAATTAATGATTTAATGATTTAAACAATGATTTAATGACTTAGTGATTTAATGATGTAATGATTTAATGAATAAATGATTTTTAATGATTTTATGATATAATGACTTAATGATTTAATGATTTCATGACTTAATGTCTTAATGATTTAATGACTTTAATGACTAAATGCTTTAATGATTAAATGCTTGAATGATTTTATGATGTAATGACTTACGATTTAATAACTTAATGATTTAATGAATTAATGATTTAATGACTTATTGATTTAATGAATTAATGACCTAATTCTAAATCAAACCTTTAATCCCGTCAATGCGGTTCTCAAAAGAGCAAAATATTTCTGGGGTTTCAAATTTTGCTTTTTGGCAAACAGGTTCAGTTCCTCCCCCAAGTGGCCGGTGCTGAAGTCCTTCACCGAAGAGACCCAGGCCTGAAAGTCTGACAAGATTACTGCAGCGCTCGTCTCCATGGTGGCCAGCTCAGACAGCTGTGTTTGTGTTGGGGTGACCCACAAGTACTCCAAGTCTGGTTTGACAAAGTCTGAAAGCAGACTTGTCCGCTCCTGAAAGTTTAAGATAATGTTATGATGAAAGTCGGGACTAAGTTGTGTTTACTAAGAAAAACAAAAATTGTAAAATGGGATAGAATAATTTCATATTCTTTGCTCTATCTGGATTTTTCAACTTGAAATACCCATAGTTACAAAGTTAAAGTAGGATTAAAGAAAGGGGAGTGAAAGGTTTCTATCGTTTGTCGATATCCCCAAATGTTTCGTTTGTCGACATCCCCTAGAGCCCTTAGTACTTAATTATTATTTTTAGAGCTTCTGGACTAAAGAATAAGCAGGAAATAGAAATGCAAACGTAACATTTGATGCTAAGGCTTATTTACAACATATACTCACATCGAGCATGGACCACTTAATAATCCTGACAATATAACTGTCACTGAGAACTTGGTCTCGGAGTGGACCCTCCTCTAATCTGAAGCAAGATAATTTTTCTCACATGTTTATTGAAACAATGTTGCACTCACAACTAGTATAAGTGATATTACGGTCAAAAGTATGAAAATCACTGTTGCTATGTGTAGATCGCTGTTGTTATGTTTGGTATGGAAAAGATCTTTAGTTCAGAGGTTTCATGTGTAGCTGTATCTATTGTGTGAGATTGTTGCGCCGTATTTGGGTAAGGGGAAATGACGCCTTAGTTTTGTTGTTGATATAGTGGATGGATGGCTGTTTCAGGATATTCAAGGCATAGCTTGTTTTGTGTTTTGAGGATTCTTGCTAGATGTAACGTTAAGGGAAAACGTTGATTGGTTTACAAATTGAATTGTTAGTATGGTATGCATTACTCCGTCAGGTTTTGACGATGCATAATAAACTTATGGCGTTATAACTTATATCAAGATATTCAGTGTTTGGTGTATTGATATCAGTTACACTAATCTGTGTGAAGAAGTGAGAGACTAGAATATCTCACAAGTAGGCATCTGAATTGAAAGGGTAGATGAGCACAATACAGTAAGTTTGACATCTCGTCAATTACTCCTAAATTGTAATAATTTTTGCTCCACATCTCGTCAATTACTCCTAAATTGTAATAATTTTTCAAACGCATCGTAAATTCACATCCATATTTTGTCAGATTAACTATTACTGCATAACAAAAAATATTTATCCTCTAAGAATTCGCTGAACTATATAAGTGCACCCATTCTGCTTTGGTTTTCATTCAAACCTGTTTATTTTTTTGTTGGTCAATAATGAACAAAAGAGACATAACTCCAGACCTGTTGTTAAATTTGCTGACCACCAGTTGCCTCACTTGTTGGACCAGATCAGCAACAACTTTACCATTCCCTGAGTTGACCATTTCATTGATCATGTGTCTGTTGGCTTCTTGTAGCCATTTGGGGCTGAGTCTCCCCGGGTGGCTCCTTATGGACTGGACATCAAACTAAATTGGTTTTTGAAGAGGCCAAAATGATTTTTTTTAAATGGTATTAACTATTGACTGCATTTCAAAATAACATGTATAAGCCCCTAGTATAGTGGCTCAATGCAGACTAACAAAACAAGAATGTACATTATCAGGACACAACATGTTACTCTAGTAATAACATTGCTGAGCAATGACAAATCAAAAACCAGCACACACAAACAAACAAACAAAAAATAACCCCCAAAAAAACAACAACACACTCTTAAATGATAGAAATATATCGCTGAGAGTAATTCTCAAAGAGAGGGATTTTTTTTGTTGCTTATACATTTTATGGCTGGTAAGGAATTTAAGTTAAAAAATACAAATAATGGAATCTCAGTTCTATTAAAAAAAAATTGTTTACTCGTTGGACTCCCTGTATAGGAAGAAGACTTACTGATTCCCACATGTCTTGTAGTGTTCTGCCTGTTTCATATTTCTGGAACCCTCCACCAATGGATGTGATGTAGTTCAGCACAGCTTGAGGAAAACAGCCAAGTTCCTAGGAAGAGGAATAACAGTTTTTTCAACATCCAGACTGCCATTTATTTAAACCAATGTAATAAATATGATTTTAAAAAAAGCAGTAGCTGTTGCTTTTAGAATAGCGAAACTTCAATTTCCATAAACAGTTTAGTGCCTGCCTTCATAAATTACTTTATTATTGGAGAACATATTATTATATGATCTACTGGCCACACAGTCAGTAAGATACAAGACAAGTAAACTACAAGCCATTTTCTCAAATGACATTCATTTCAGCCATTTTTATTCTTGGTTAACTCTCAAAATTGATGTTGATTTTAACAAATTTAACACCTAGGTTTTATGAATTACACTAAAAAATTACTAAAACATTGACATTACTAAAATATTGACGATCACCAAAACATTGACCATTACTAAAACATTGATATTACTAAAATATTGACCATCACTAAAACGTTGACCATCACTAAAACATTGACATTACTAAAATATTGACGATCACCAAAACATTGACCATTACTAAAACATTGATATTACTAAAATATTGACGATCACCAAAACATTGACCATTACTAAAACATTGATATTACTAAAATATTGACCATCACTAAAACGTTGACCATCACTAAAATATTGACCATCAATAAAATACTGACCATCACTAAAATATTGACCATCAATAAAATACTGACCATCACTAAAATATTGACCATCAATAAAATACTGACCATCACTAAAATATTGACCATCAATAAAATACTGACCATCACTAAAATATTGACCATCAATAAAATACTGACCATCACTAAAATATTGACCATCAATAAAATACTGACCATCACTAAAATATTGACCATCAATAAAATACTGACCATTACTAAAATATTGACGATTACAAAAACATTTAGTATTACTAAAACATTGAACATTACTAAAACATTTACAAACAATTTAAATTTTAAGCATCTAAAATTTTCAAGTTTTAATTTTGATACATGAAAGACAAAAAATCAATTAATTAAATAATTCATAATACGTACTCGATAGTGCTCTATATGAATATCACCTTGCCTTTTAGACAATTTGGTACCATCGCTAAAGCATGGAGAGAAAGTAAAATAAAAGTTCTTGTTAAATTAATAGAAAGCATTCTTAAATGAAGGTAGAGGAATTATATATTTGGTTTGATATGACAGTGATAATCTCGTACAAGGTTGGCATTATTACACAAAAGAAAGCAAAGCCAAGTTAACTCAAACTTACTGATTTACAATAAGAGGAAGGTGTCCAAATGTTGGAGGCCTCCACCCAAAGGCTTTATACAGTAGAATGTGTTTGGGTGTTGATGCCAGCCATTCCTGAGAAGAGTAAATCATCTGATACAAAAATGTTGGAGGAAGTGAAATGAAAAATTTTTAAAAAAGCTTATACCAATTTAGAATGTTAATAACTGAATCCACTAGAGATGATATGTAAATAAGGTTTACGTAACTGCCTGAAGTATTGATATCAACAAAATTTGCTGTGGTGCGATGGCGGCTTATCTTTTTTATTAACAGGTGGTTGCAGGTGAGCAGGGATGGCTGTGGTCAGATAAACAAAACACACAGCCAAAAATTAAATATTACATAATTAACAACTTACTGAACCTCGTAACACATGGCTGATCTGCATCAGGTGATCGTCCACAACATTTGCAAAATGATACGTTGGGTACCCATCTGACTTCATGAGAATCTAAAATGATATTTGATTCCAAAGATAGAATCTATCACATACAAACTTAGAATTATTTGATCAATACTAACATACTTTTATTTTTGTTTTATGATTTTGGGGAGAATATCAAACAAAAAATTTAAGACATTTTTTAAGTGTAAATAGTAAAATAAATTACTAAATCTATAATAAATTTTACAATTTTTAAAAATGTACATAGTAAAATAAATTACAGAAAAGCAGAGTTACATCAAGAAAATCACCTCAATGTTTTCAGTACATACATAAGTATCTACCTTTTATTTATCGAAACAAATCTTTTAAAGTCAAACTAACTTCCATAATGCAGAAGGTTTCTTCCCTTGTTTTTGTTGCTTTCTTGGTCTCTCAAGCATAATAGAAATTATTAGATTGCCCCTATAATATTTAATTTTTCACAGAAATCGCAAAGGGAAAAAAAAATTTTTTTAAAGTGCTCATTGTAAAAAAATTTTTTTAAATTTTGTAAATACCGGATCTCCTTCTATATCGATGATGTTATGAGATGTTTCTCCTTTCACCATGTCATGCCATGGGTCAGGGGTGGGCTCCAGCTGTGTTGATGAAAACAAGTTTCTTATAGTTAGAAACAACAGTGGAGAAATGCTTGAAGATCAATGTGTGCCTGGACTAAGTTTGAACAATGTTTTTACAAAAATGACTTAACAGTTTTACTTTCAGTGACATGGGGCTAATGTTTAATTTAATTTAAAATATGTGCTAGCAGATTAAAGAGAAGCTTTGATAAATCCATCATTTAATTTTTAAGTCGGTTTCCATGGAAACAAAATCCTGTGTTTGCAAGTTTGGAAAGAATGTCGTTATAAAGACGTAGGTTTCAGATGAGACAGATGATCATTTCTTTTTTGTATGGCATTTGAATGTAAGGAAAATTAACAATGGGTAGAGGCCATCATTAAATGAAAAAATTGTGAAAATGAGGAATTTTTTTTTTATTTTTAAAAGGGAGTGGGGGGGGGGGGGAGATCTGCCAAAAGAGTGCGAGGTCATTTATGAATGGCTTCTTAACCAACAGAAAGGTCACCCCATTTTAAAAAAAAGTAATTTCAGCTTTGTAAATTCAAGATGAGACCTACTTTTAATCTTATAACATGAGGAGTCCCTTTAGCGATCAACTCTTGTCCTTCTTCCCTGGAGATGGAACGACAGCGGTTGTCATATTTTGAAGGCTCACCACTCTTTGCTGCCTCTTTGCGCATAATTTCCAAACGGCGAGCTGTACAAAAACATGGGTAGGCCCAGCCATTGTTGAGTAAGGTCTGGATGTTTTCTTTATAAACATCTAGCCGTTGTGACTGGCAATGACAGTGCATCAAATTATAAAGAAAATATCCCTGGTTTTTTACATCTTTGAAAGAGTAGTTCCTAGTTAAAGTTGGCTTGCTTTATTAACTGACACAGATCCCTAAGTAAACTGATGAATTCTGAAGTTAACAACTAAATATCTTCATTGGGCCATTCTAATAAACTTCAAAGCATTTTTCTTATTAACAACAGGGTTATCACCCCTTAGTGTAATTTATTGGAACATTTTGAAGGGATTTCAGTAAAGGTTTAAAAATTACAATACCTGAATGTAAGGGCCATAGCTTCCTCCAACTTCAGGCCCTGATAAAAGAAGAACATTTTCACTATATATAGTTATTTGATACTTAAATTTTTATTAAATTTATATCAATAATTATTTGATACTTTAATTTTATGAATAAGAGTTACACAACACACTATGATAGTCGTAGCTACACATTTAAATAATCTTATATCTAAGGTATTGACATATAAATTTATAGTAACATTTACCGAATGCTACACTCATCACTTGACCTCTTCTTAGCTTATTATCTCAAAACAGAATTTATATGAATTTTAATTTAATTGTAATTTACGCTAAATACTGCAATGCCAACCTTCATCAGGGTCAACACCGGCCCAATGTAGCGTTTCTTGTAATTTCTCAATTGCTCCTGGCACAGCTCGACTCTACAATTATTAGAAAAATTTGTAAAAAAATTGATATATTTGATAATGTAAATGATATGAAAAATTTTGGTATAATTATTTTTTGTGAAATGAAGTTTCTTGCTACTATAGCACTGCAGTCTCAATGTAATTTTAAGTTAAGATGTTAAATGATAATCTGTTTATCAGTTTTAAAGCCTATGCAGTTGTTGAGTTTTCAAAAATGATAAGCCAATCATTTCAATTTATCTTTTAAAGACCTTTAAAAAACAATAAGTATAGTTTATACAATAAGTAATTGTTCCCCTGTCTGATCATACCAGACACTGGAAGAGTCAGCTAATGTAAAGAACCAGGATTTTTTTCGGGGAAAAAGATGGTTTCCAAAAATAGATGATTGCGGCTTAGAATGAAATATGAAGGCACATTTTCTTCATGAGTGACGTGCTGTACCAAACTGTGGTATCAAAAAAAGAATAGCTTTGACAGTTACAAAAATAGATTTTAAATTTATCTTACTACAGTATTATAAGTATCTTGTCAAATTGGCCTATGGAAATTGTGTGGAACAGATGGGAATGCATTGCAAAAACTGATAATTGGTTTTCCAATATTCTTATTTAAAATTTGAAAATTTAGCCAAAATCTAAGTAAAAGAATAAATAATAAATAGTTTACTCTGGCTAAAGCTAAGCTAAGCAAGACTACGCAACACTCATACTGCTTCAGGATGGTGTGGAGCCTTTGACAAAATACATTTTGCAGGGCCTTAAATGTTATATACTTCACAGATCTGATATTAAGACACATCATGATCATACTGGTCATAATAGTATATGTATTATTGTTTTCTTACTTAGTTTCAGATATTTCTACTTTTTAAAAATTTTAAAAGTTGAATTACACTGAGACTAGCTACTCATCATGGCTCAATTTTGGCTTAACTGATGGCTGTCAAAATAATTCTGAAAAACGCAAAATGGAATGAGCTATGCCCCTTTAAAGAGACAGCATAATGTAAAAAAAAAAAAAACAATGTTGAGACGTTAATCCGGAAGCAAAAAAAAAAACCTGACAAAATTGATAGTTGTGAAATACTGGTTGTACTTCTCCTAGAATCATTTCTCTCAAGATCTTCAGTTCTAGGTAAGTCTGAACAATCCTTATCCTGTAAAGCACCACTTCTCAAAGTCATGTCCCAATTCACACCATGATTGCACAAATTTTCCAGAATTATGGTATGCAGTTGCTGAATATCATACAGAAAGTGAAAAATGGCAAAGTACAATTGCTGTTTTTGGACAGAGTGTCTTCAGTGGATCCCAAAGTTCTAACTACAAGAAATATTATATCCTGAAACTGAAGGATTCTTTAAGCATCTGTTCTATCTCATCTCTACATTCATATTTGAACTGTTCATACATATGACGATGGCAAGCAGAGATTAAAAATCTACAGCTCATAGTTTTCAAGAGAGGCAGCTTCAATATTCACTTTTGGGTCTTTGCAGGAATGGTGGGAGAAAAGAACAACCTGATCATTTTGGATTATCTTGCACCCAATGTTCCCTTTAAGCTGCGCGGCTGCGCGCAGCCATCTCAAAGACGCTGCGCAGCAGTTTTGAGTATCCGCGCAGCAAATTTCCAGGTAAGTGTGTGTTTAGGTTTGCGGGCTGTAAAATTTTGCACATAAAAAATTGATGCTGTAAAACTTGGCACACAACTGTATGATTTTGCACACGAACCAACAAAGCTTAGAGGGAACATTGCTTGCACCTATAAACATTCAAACATTGTCATTGTGTGACTGGCTATTACAAGCCATGAATAGACACAGCCTGGCTATATTAAGTCTGAACAATCCTTATCCTGTAAAGCACCACTTCTCAAAGTCATGTCCCAATTCACACCATGATTGCACAAATTTTCCAGAATTATGGTATGCAGTTGCTGAATATCATACAGAAAGTGAAAAATGGCAAAGTACAATTGCTGTTTTTGGACAGAGTGTCTTCAGTGGATCCCAAAGTTCTAACTACAAGAAATATTATATCCTGAAACTGAAGGATTCTTTAAGCATCTGTTCTATCTCATCTCTACATTCATATTTGAACTGTTCATACATATGACGATGGCAAGCAGAGATTAAAAATCTACAGCTCATAGTTTTCAAGAGAGGCAGCTTCAATATTCACTTTTGGGTCTTTGCAGGAATGGTGGGAGAAAAGAACAACCTGATCATTTTGGATTATCTTGCACCCAATGTTCCCTTTAAGCTGCGCGGCTGCGCGCAGCCATCTCAAAGACGCTGCGCAGCAGTTTTGAGTATCCGCGCAGCAAATTTCCAGGTAAGTGTGTGTTTAGGTTTGCGGGCTGTAAAATTTTGCACATAAAAAATTGATGCTGTAAAACTTGGCACACAACTGTATGATTTTGCACACGAACCAACAAAGCTTAGAGGGAACATTGCTTGCACCTATAAACATTCAAACATTGTCATTGTGTGACTGGCTATTACAAGCCATGAATAGACACAGCCTGGCTATATTAATAATAATATATTACTTATTTTAAGGGCTACACATGGGTCCCCAATCCCCACAAGTGTGGTGACCCTGTTTGCCACCCCCTAGTAACGGCCACAACTGCTGCTTATTACTCCCTGACACGGAAATTTTTGTTAGTGAGTTTGTATAAGAGGGACTGGTCTGTGGTAGTAAATAATATAGTATAGTACTCATACAATTTTATAATCAATTATTAATGATAGTGATAGTTAAACTAACTCAGTACGGTCGTAAGCAGTTGTTGTTTTTTTTAGATTTTAGGCTAGCCTACTTTTTATCATAAAGAAAACGGGATCCATCTATAATAAAAGGAGGCTAAATGTATGACAATTTTTTTTAAAGTTATTAGTTAATCACCTGATCAGTATCCTCTATTCTAAGTATGAATTTCCCATTTCTGGAACGTGCAAACAAAAAGTTATATAACGCAGTTCTTAGACCTCCTAAGTGCAGATAGCCTGTAGGACTTGGAGCAAATCTAACACGAACTTGACTGCTATCTGGTACTTTACTTTGAAAAGATCTTTTGATCAAGAAAACGTGTCTAAATTTTGTAAATTTCCGATGAAATGCACATTTACTAGGTAAAAAACCTTGAAAATAAAATTGTTTAAATTTAGTTATGGGCGCGGCCATATTGTATTTGTAAAAGTTAAACTTGATTAAATAAGGCCGAGGCTCCGAACATAGCTAATGCTCAGCTGGTATTACTCAGTTACTGTTACGTATGTCTTAACATTTTTTTTTTTTATTAGTATTGGGGCAATGGGAAAGATTGTATCTAGTTTTAAATTAGGAAATACGGAATACAAAGTCAGTTAATTCAGTTTTTCTCCGTACAGACACAGCATAACACCATACGAGCTAAGTTTTTTTTATTTTTTATTTTTTTTTTTTTTTTTTTTTTTTTTTTTTTTTTTTTTAAATATTGGTCTGGTCTAGTTCGCTAAAGTAAGAAGGCTTTTACTTAATATTTTTTGTCAACACACTTTTTTTTTTAATGTGTGTTCTTTATTGAAGTTTTGCCCAAACTTGTTTTCCTCCAGTTTCTTTATTTTTGTTCTCCTTGAAATATATATATATATATATATTTATTTTTTAAACTAAACTGGTGTATCATGCAGGGGCGTCACAATGTTCCATCAACCCCTGCGTTTGCATCAAGCTTTAAGATATTCAATTTAAGGGATCCAAAGTTGTGATGTGAAATCATTAAAAAAAAAAAATAATAACTTTTTGAAATACAGACAGTGGGTAAAGAAAGGGGACAAGGAGGATCCAAATTCGTAGCACACATATGAACATTGGCGTGGCTCTTAACTAACCAGACCAGGCATAGCTGTTATGAGGCAGGAAAGTCACCACGTGTGTAGGAAAGGCGGGCAGCATCGGTCGACCCCCAAAAGGTAGCGTGATAATGACGTCAACGAAATTCGAAAACAACATTAAATTACCCTTAAAAACAAGGATTTTCTTATAAATTCATTATATAGTTTTTAAAAAGAGCAATGGGGATTGGGGCTGAAAAATTGACAAAACATGCATATCAAAACATGCATTTTTTAAGAATCTTAATCAGTCCCTCCCCCCCCCGTCCCCCAGGCTTGCAGCGCCCCTAAACCACATTAATTAATATTCTATTGACCCTCTCGCTTTTTTACAATGCAGTTTTATTTCAACAACTTTTTCAGAGAAACAAAAGGAAATTGTGCGCACCAAACGCACTTTGAAAAAGAATCTCATTTAGCGCAGTTATCTGGAATTTAATTTCGTGAAATCAGTGGCATCCTCTTTCCTTCCCCGCAAAAACTTATTTGGGGGGGGGGGGGGGGTTGTGGTCGTGGTTGGGTGGTGGTGCTGAAAATTTGAAAGAATGTGTTGTCAACGAGTCTGTGTGCCAAGTTTCAGCTCGATTGGTAGATGAAAAGTGGTCATTCTGATCGTGATGCTACACACACACAAAATTGTTTTTCAAAAAAAATCTAATAAATAAAACATAAAAATACCTGTTGATGTGAACGGTAAGACGGTCGTCCATTAAGTACTTCACGGTATTTTCGGACAATTTGTAACCCCTCCATCGCCCCTGTCACAATCTGTCACAAATTTAAGACCCTCCTCCTCCTCCCTCCTTCTCCTCCCCCTAATGTACGTCACAATGGGAAGCGTTAGAGAACACGCCCCTGCCTCACTGCAATCTAAACTTTGGACGCTTCTGATCAAAACAGTTGGATACTTTTAAAAGGAAATTAAGGAAATTAATGAAATTTAAAAAAAAAAAAAAGATAAAGTAGTGCAGCTCAAGAATACTTAACACTATTGGCTTTAGAGATAAGTGATTTATAGAGGTACTATTTAAACTATTAATTTTACACTGCAGCTCTGCAAATTAAAGACTAGCTTCTGTCATAGATGTCATAGTTGTCGTGCCATTGGTGCACAGTTTGACCGTGCCATTGGTGCACAGTTTGACCGAAAAGGATGGGGCCTAAAAGACATCTGAACTTTTCTAAAGTCTCTGTGTCTGTTGTTATTGGAAAAAAATGCATGTGTATGCGTGTGTCTTAGTGTGTCAGAGAGAGAGAGAGAGGGAGAGAAAGGGAGGCAGTGAATGTGTCACTTTACTTACACGAACTAAGTGGTGTAGCTACAGTTTTCTACGCCCGGGGTGTAGCTACAGTTTTCTACGCCCGGGGTGTAGCTACAGTTTGCTGCGCCCGGGAGTGTAGCTACAGGCTGCTACGCCCGTAGACCGGGGATGTAGCTATAGTTTGCTACGCCCAGGGTGTAGCTACAGTTTTCTACGTACGGAGTGTAGCTACAGTTTGCTGCGCCCGGGAGTGTAGCTACAGGCTGCTACGCCCGTAGACCGGGGTGTAGCTATAGTTTGCTACGCCCAGGGTGTAGCTACAGTTTTCTACGTACGGAGTGTAGCTACAGTTTGCTGCGCCCGGGAGTGTAGCTACAGGCTGCTACGCCCGTAGACCGGGGGTGTAGCTATAGTTTGCTACGCCCAGGGTGTAGCTACAGTTTTCTACGTACGGAGTGTAGCTACAGGCCGCTACGCCCGGGATGGCTTCTTATTTTAAAAAACATCTAACTAAATGTGTCATGATTTTTACATGTTCATGAACGAAGTCTCAAAACACAGGGGCTGAATGTCAGAAAATAAAAATCACACGATAGTGTAATGTTAAATAACATTTATTGCATTTTGCACTTCCTGTGACTTATTGTAGGTAAAATAAACGGTGTAACTTTTTTCTTCTTCTTCTTCTATATCTTAAGGGCCCACGATCAATTTATTGATCATTTTGGCTCCTATATTTATTTTTTTTTTGTTTCTTTCTCTAGAGGCTTCACGTTTTAGTTGTGAGTTGGCAAATTACAACCTCTATGGGTAATCACTTCACCAAAATAAACAAAAAACTAAACCAGGGGCTGGGAACAATTTTTACTCCGGACGAGGCCTGGTTAAAAAAAAAAAAAAAAAAAAATTCTAGTTTTGCTTTGGGAGCCGGATGTATCCCGCGGGCCGGAGTTTGTCCGGCACCTGATTGAAACTAAAATCACTGGTGGATTCAAATGTTGCATGTGGCGTGTACAATCGTCCCTATTTAAAGAATTTTAAAAAAATATTTAGAAGTAATTGAGAGTAATGTTTATATCACGCTATGACTAAGTCTATTTACACACCAGTTGTAACATTGGTGAGAATACGCTCATGCCTATTTTTTCTTACGTAGAAATGACGAAGTATTAAAAAGGGGGGGGGGGGGGGGCGTGTCGTAAAACACAATACCTTTTATGATAAGTTCCATAAAATATACAATACACGCATATTAAAAAAAAAAAATCTCTGCACATTCTTTCCTACCGATATTGACACAAAGCAGGACACAAAGAATTCGCTAGATCTCCGGTCCTGTTACTGCATTAGGAGAAGAAGAAGAAAATAAATGCCACAGTTCAAAGGTACTGACTGAGCCAGGATTGACTGCCGTCTCAGAACTCGGGCTGGAATGCCAGGGCATTGAAATGCCATGCGCCGATAAAGGCCACTAGTGAGAGTGATGCCAGCATTGTGAGAGTGATGACAGCATTGTGAGAGTGATGACAGCATTGTGACAGTGATGACAGCATTGTGAGAGTGATGACAGCATTGTGACAGTGATGACAGCATTGTGACAGTGATGACAGCATTGTGACAGTGATGACAGCATCGTGTGACGACTGATAAACGAGGTAAGGTTGATAAACATTTTTTTTCTTTCTTTTGACTTCAAATTTAAATATTTCAATTTCTTGGTGGAATTTAAATGTTGAGTACTCCTGAAACTGTGCAAGCTCTACTTCGAACTTTACGTTTAAGACGATTCGTGTAAAAGATTGAAACTAAATGACTTTATTACGTTTTATTTAAACATCGTTGATAGCATCGAGGAACTGTATTGTAATACATAGTGTATTGGTTTATTCGAAATTCGGAGAACGGAACCCGGAATTAGAATAGTTTAAAGTTAACAACAACAACAACCACAAAATAACAGTCAACAACAATTATTATGTTACTATTTTTATCAAAATTTTTAGTTGCTCTTCCTCTATTTGCCTTGTCCTTGTTGCCAAGGAAATGGTGGAACATGGTGTGTGTGGCAGCTTGAAATAGAAGGATGGGACAGTAGAAGAAGAACGTTTCGGCGAAGAGCCTTCCCCGGCAAACATGAATAATGAAGAAATAACCAGAAATGTTGGATTTGTCAGGTCAGGTCTCTAGGAACTATTTCTTGTAATGTCTTACTTGTCCTGTCTGCCGAGGAAAGCTCTTTTCCGAAACGTTCATCTTGTATTGGCCGTCTTTCTATTTCAAGTTTCCACATACCGTGTTCTTCTGTTTCTTTTACAGAGCTTGAACGCAGTCCTTCATTTATTATCAATGTTGTCACAACAATTTATAAGTTCCCTCCATACTTGTGAAACGAATGTAAATATGAATATATGTGAAAATAATAGCCAGCCGCCGTCGGTGGACTCCATTAGGTCTTACATTATTTATTTTTTTTTAAAATCCAGATTAACTAGGTGAAAACTTGCGATAAAGAACTAGATCTAGACAAACAGTTGACTTCTAATTATGTAAAACAGAATCTATGACACATCGAAGTCTCCTGGCATGAGAACAAAGGTTTGTAGGCACGGAACGTGTGGCAGGTATGCATAGACATTAACGGAGCGCGTCCACAATGTGATATCCTATATCTTATGTCAATGTGTGCTCTTTAGATCTAATAGAGGTTCTGTTTTTTTATTCACCCTATTTTTAGATGTATTAAGTTTTTAAACTATTTAAGACAAACAAGAGAAAATATTACGCTTAAAACGCACCTGCGATACATTTTTTTTTAAAAATATCTCATTTATCGCAGTCTTCGGGAATTTTATTTTGTCTTCCCTTTGAAAAAAAATGAGAAACTGATTTTTTTTTTTTCTCTTTGTGGGGGGGGTTGTTTATAAAATGTTGTGATGTCATCGGCAGCGAGTCTATGTGCCAGGTTTCAGCTCAATAGGTTGAAGGGAGGTGTATTAATTAGTTGTCCGAAGATTTTTGCCAGCCAGTCAGCCACCAAAGAACAAAAGTGAAGTTAATATAAAGTATTAAAAAATATTTAAAAA